ACATATGATGGTTTTCACTAAAAGTACAGAATTAAGCAGGTGCATTTTTTTTAAATATGCAAATATTTTGAAATTTTTTTTCTCAAAAAATATTTTTTTGAAATATTTGTTTTCAAGTGATACTTTCTATCTGTTAATCAATGATATATTTATAAACTGTAAAAGTTTTAACTTTATACCTCACATAGTTTTTGACCTTTGTCAAAACCTTAAAGGATCCTTGGAATAATATTTTCCCCCGTAACGTCAATAACCCTGACATTAGTCCCTCGTTGGTGTCTGAGAAAGTAATTCCAGGTTTACAAAGGTGAAAATTATTCATCTGAGTAATTATTCATTGAAAGCACTATTCCTCATGACCGTGAATATTCTATTTTTCACCATTTTTTTTTCGTAAGATGATAGTTATTCTGTTTTACGCACACCCCATCACAGCATACAGTAAGTCTGGAACTTGTGTTAGTTTTAAAGTGGTTGTTTGTTTTGGAATGTGGCACACTTCTCGCAGTCTTTCACAGGCTGCTCGATCTAGGAGTTCATATCAGGCCAGTATATCACCTTATGGACAAGCTGCTTACATTTTACAATTCCAAGGTGAGACTGAAGTAAAAGACAGAGCATGTGTGACCGAAGAGTAGGTGGAATCACAATACGCATGCCATTAAATATAACACCATCTATTACAGATAGTTCATTTCGGGATGTCCAGTAATCATGTATTATGAATGGAGTTTCATTCTTTTTGTCAGGCCCACCATTTATAACTGTTTAGTCCTTGTAGCTCAGTAAGGGTGTGCTTTCTGATGTCTTCTTGCCTCTCCCTGCTGACAGATAATAAGTCAAAAGCTCTCATGTCAGCCACATCAAGGTCCAGTTGATTGTTGGGGTAAGTAAGTTCGGGATAATGCGTAGGCTGTTACCAGATCCTTGCCTTTCCGATATCTAAAAGTAAGATCATACAACTGTAGCTTAAGTAGCATTTTCTGAAGTCTCATAAACACGGACAATATGTGCTTTTTGAAAATCTGCTCCAGCGGTTTGTGGTCATTGTTGACAGTGTATAGCTTATCGATGTAACAATGAAGTTTAGACGCTCCATGTACAACTGAAGGCATCTCTTTTTCAATTTGGGCGAATCGTTTTTCTATATCTGTAAGAGCTCGAGATGAGACCGCAATGGCACTGCCTTCCTGCATGAAGATTATCCCCATTCCATCTTTTCAGGCATCACACTGTATTTCTGTATGCTTGCTTACATCAAAGAGCCCAAGGACTTTAGTGGTTGTATAAGTAGTTTTGAGTTTGAGTTTGTCAAAACTCCTGGTGTGTTTTATCCCATTAGCTTTGAGAAGTTGTCTGAGAGGTGCATCCATTTGGTTCATGTTCGGAATAAAATTACAAAGGTACTGCACTAATCCTAAGAATCTCCGCACAGCTTACTTATTAGTTGGTGCTGGCATGTTGCACACAGCAAGACTCTTTTCCGGATCAGGTCTGATGCCTTCAGCACTAATAATGTGTCCTACGTATGGTAGTGATGACTTGCGAACTCTACACTTATCACCGTTAAGGCGCAAATTGTACTAAGTTGCTCTCCTCATAACAGCTTGAAGGATACGGTCATGGTGCTCACAGTCAAGACTTGCGATCAAAATGTCATCCATGATTGCGAATGCTCCCTTAATTCCTTTTAGAATTTGATCTATAATGCGTTGATAAATCTCTGGGGCTGACTTTATGCCAAAGGCCGATTGGTCGTTTCTGCTGACTTAGACTCCCCTAAGGGGAGTTTAAATCAGGGGAAACGACCAATAGGGGTGTTGAAAGTGCTTAAGTATGATGAGTCATTGTCAAGTTTAATCTGTAAGTAACCAGATTTGGCGTCAAGAACTGAAAATTTAGCACCATGAATGGAGGATTACACTTCCTCTTCATGGGGTGATGTTCTCTTACTGATCTTAACATCTTTAGGGCCAATACAGATTCTGACTTTATTGTTCCAGGGGTTCATATCGAGCTTATCCGTTCGCTGGATTCTTCAACTGGAACAATATAACCATCCGAATCAGATGAGCCTATGGCGCTAATAAGTACATCTCAGCTCGGTTGCGCTTCCTACAGTTTGATCGCCAATGGTCTGCTTTCTTACAATATTTGCAAGAAGTACCAACTGCTGAACATTTGTTGTGGTTAGCATCCAATCCACAACGTGTACAGATGTTTCTTTTTTGTCCCCCGCTTTCACTAAAAGTGGGGGATATTAATTTGGGTCTGTCTGTCCGTCCGTCCGTCCGTCTGTATTTCTGTCTGTCTGTAACACTTTCGTTTCCGCGCGATATCTCGAGAACCCTTTGAGCTTTCGCAATGAAATTTTGCATAGCAACTCCCTATCGCCTAAAGAAGAACTGTATTGATTTTGAGGTCATAACTTCATAAATTCTGTCTGTTTTAACACTTTCGTTTCCGCACGATATCTCGCGAATTCTTTGAGCTTTTGTCATGAAATTTTACATGACAACTCCCTGTGGCCTAAGGAAGACCTCTATAGATTTTGAGGTCAAAACGTCAAAGTTCAAGGTCATAAATTCAAAAATTCCGTCTGTGTGTAACACTTTTGTTTCCGGGCAATATCTCAAGAAGCTTTTGAGCTTTTGCAATGAAATTTTATACCATAACTCCCTATAGCCTCTCTCGCCCCTCTCGAAGTGTCCCACCCCTAGACAGAAAATGATAAATGTCCTACGGACCCGGTTTAACGATAGAATGCGTTTCGTGTATTGTCAATGTAGCAGAAGAAAATACGGGAGATAACTCTAACTCAGTTCATTTACTATGAAAAATCCCGAGAGTTCCGAATGTCAACATGGTGTGTAAATTTGAAACGAGTAAAAAACGTTGGTGAAAAAGTGTTGAATTCTTCCATAATATGGATTAAATTTTTAGATGAAAGGTATTTACAGTCTCAAAAAGGTTTGTTATGATTAATTTGACTGTTATTTTCAATGCAACTTTATTAATTTTCTCCAAAATCGTTTCGGAGCGATTCTGCAATTTTCTGCTACATTACGGGTATATGGGGGGCATTCTAACTGTGGTGAGGGTCATCCCGAGACACAGTTAGATTATTCTAACTATGCACCCCGTTTTTTATTTTATTTATTTATTGTATTAAAAGTCGCTTGGCACTATTTTTAGCACAGGGGCATGTGGAGTGTTATTACGTATAATACAGGTTGTCGGCGGACTTTATATTCTAATTACATATATTAGAACTGTTTAGTAAAGGCTAAATTAGACACCATGTATTGATTAAAATTTTGACAATATCGAACGTGAAAAAAAACATTATATGTGACTTAATGTTTGCATTTAATGTGGAGTATATTCAAGTGCCCCTGTGGTCTAGTGGTCTGATGCTCGCTTAGCAAGCGAGAGGCCCGGGTTCAATCTCCGGACGATTCTCTTTTTTTTTTAAAATGTTTTTTTTCTTTTTTTGGATTTACTAAATGATACTATTCAACATGTGAAATGAAAAAGTTATGATGTCTGGCGTGTACAAACTCATAAAATCATTATTACAGTGTGATAAATATTCTGTATATATTAAAAAGAATCTTCTATGTACATGGTGTACACATATTAAAGAATAAGCAATCAAATCTTATAACCATATTGGCTTTTTTTAAATTTGCTTCAATATACATGTATACATTTAATAATTCTACAAATACAGGGGAGCAGTGTGCCCCCCCCCCCCCCCGAACTGCGCATGCTCTTCTTTTTTCCCTAAGCGGGGGACACAAATTCTCTGAATTAGCTTGTTTGTCTTCAGCTTTATCTTACTGTCCCGTTTTCTTGTTTAAGACTTCTGCTGTTTCACGCCAAGTTTGGAAATTGATATTTCCTCAGATTTTAATTTCAATTGTGACTGAGCCAATTCATACTGACGCCCTATATCAAGAGTTTTGGCAAGATTCAAACATTGACCTTGATCAAGTAATCTTGTGCTTTCTTATGTGTCACTACTGCAATAACTGCATCAATGAAATAGGGAGATAACGAACAGTATTTAAGCTCAATAGTCTATTCAAGCAATACATATTAGGAGCAGAGCAAACATGGACCTCTTAAACATCAGAGGTGGGATCAGGTGCCACGGAGGAGTGAGCATTTCCTACCGACGGGACACCCGCCGTGTGCTCCTTGTCCCGAAAAACTGAATAATCCGTAGACAATTAGTGTGAAAATAACGGCCTAACAGTTAGTATGAAAAAACTTCAGTCAGTATTTGACTTAATGATAGATTGCTGACAAGGTCATTGTATCGACCATAGAACTTGCGAAATGATGACTTTAAACAAGACTGTTGTTATTCTTGTTTCACCAACCTGTTTGTCAATTGCTTGCCTCATTTAAGAAATTGTTCGTAGGTAGAACATGCTCTTACGCATCGAATCAACTGAGAGACATAAATCCCATATGCAGGTGATAAGGGTAAACGGCTACATAAGTATGGGACTTGACCATTGAAAAGTTGAAGTCATCACGTTTATCATAAAGCTTTGTTATTAGGTTACCATTAACATCTTTTCCTAGTAAAATATCCAAAGATGAAACAGATGTGTCAGACTCTGTTTTATCTTATATTTCAAGCTCCCTGAGATATATCGAGTCGACATATGAATAGAAGAAAGTACACGTATCGTTAATTGATAATACGATAATTGATAATAATCGATATATCTAAATGTTGAGTTGAAGGCCACAGCAAATGTTTTATTCTTCTCATGTATAGTACCAACTACGACCTGTATACAATATTAGAAGTAACCATACAAGTAAAAAAAGTTTATTAGATGGCTTCCAAATAAATAAATTCATTACAGTGCATGTATCCAGAGTTTTCAGAAAATCTTTAAAATTCTGATAGAACGATGATGAAATCTTAAGGCTACGTAATGTTTTGTTGTTACTTTTTTTCTTTCTTTTAAATAATGAAGAAGGAACCTGGAGTGATGCCAACTTGAGCTGCAGACTTCTCGGATCAAACGAAAGTGGGTTGTTTGAATTATCAGATGAATATGCAGCTCTAGTACCCTCAGATGGAAACATGTATTGGATAGCTGCAATTAAAAAGACAACAAAACCTTTTAAATTTGACCGTGAGTATGGAGAAAATAATGTATTCTGAAGTGTTGTATCTCTGACTAGTTATTAATATTAAATACAATTTTGATGATTTCACTTAAAAAATTATCACATCAACTGTTGAAATTAAATTGGAAATAGTTTAGACACATCAAATAAATGAACATTTTGCAAATTACATGTAGCTACTACAATGAATAGACTGTTGCCTTTTTCATTTAAATAAAAAAATCAATTTGATACGATTTCAAAAACTCGCATCAATGTTAATTTGCATTTTTATAAATGGGCTTATGTGGCAAGTAATCTGCAGGTGGTGAATGTGATTATTTGAGGTTTAAATGCTCAGGCACTTGTACTAATCACTGGCGGAATATGTTCTTGGATTTTGAAATCTGTTAGAAATCTGTTTCTAAAATTACATCGGAAAATTTATGGGAAAAGATTGATTTATTTACTGCAATATTTAATCGTTTGAATTAAATTTTTAAACCCACATTTTTAAAAAAAATTTTGCTCTCTGCCCAAGATTAGTAAACTACATCATGGTGTGAGACAAATTTCCTAGTCGACGAGAAGAGTTTTGACGCTAGATGACATGGTCTTGTAGATAAATTCTTTGAAAGTGTAATGACTGCGATTCTTGGGATGGAGGTACTCCATGTAGTACGGTTTTAGATATCTTGTGTTATTATACCGTGGCTTAAAAAAATTATTTTAGAAACAAGTGCCTATCATGGCCGTAGGAACCGGGGGGGGGGGCGTGCCCCCAAATAATTTTGCCGATATATAGATTACTATAAAAAAAAAATAGCTACTATATGCCTGTGCCCCCTCAATAATACGTCTCATGACCTTTTTTTTTTTTTTGCTTGTCAAGAAATTTTTGATAGTTAACAATGCCCCCTCAACTGAAAATGTATGGCTGTGCCCCCCCCCCCCCCAACTGAAATTGCTTCCTACGGGCCTGCCTATGTTTAAATGCCAGTTTGGCTGACACCAACTGGACAGTCTTTACGAAAGTGCATATAGAAAAATGTTACATAACATTGAAATACCTAGTTAAATTTTTATGATAATATATATCAAAGTTATAACCTTTTTTTTTCAAAACTCAACTAACACTTTAAATAATTATATTTTTTAATGGATGGGGATGCTTTGACACACATTCAACTATAAATTAATAAAAGTTATTGAGATTAAACTTTATTTACAACTTTTTATTTCTAATTTAAAATCATCTCAGAATCCCAACACAGGTAAAGTTTCACTTCTTGGGTACTCTACTGTGTATTAAATCACTTCCTGTGTATAGGGATTTGGAGACAAACGACCACAGGTAGACTGCTAACCCTCAAGGCATTCACACCTGTACAAAATAAGCCCCTCCCTCACCTGGAATTTACCACCTGGTAAAAAAAATCTCTGCCTTAAAGTATAGTTTCATAGTAAATCAAAGTATTTACTATATTGTTAACTATAGCGAACTATATTTGACTATTGTAATTGTAAATTTTTGTTAAGAGGGCTATATTGTTTTTAGAGCGCAATACAGAAAATTGTTCATAGATATTAAGATGACTTCCTAATCTAAACATGCAGCACGTGTCTAAAATTTGGAAGACACAGATGCAAATACATCTTGTACTTCAATGGTTTGTACTTGAACGATGTAGTAATATAAATATAATGAATTTTAAAATATGTGTTTTTATACCATGGAAAGACTGAATAAGTTGTATAATATGCAGGCTATTGTCCAGATACTCTAGTAAAAGTAGAGTTATTATATATTTAAGACATATTTGAACGTAAGGATGCCGATGCTTTACAGAACATAGAATTCAAGTCAATAAATGATCTGAAAATAGTTCTGACGTTTTTTGTTATGACAAAGTAGTATTACGGGAGCGTATTTCTGCCAGTTGAAAATATTTTTGCTATGCTGGACGTACAAGATACCAAGTCGTACGAAGAGATACTGTTTGTACGAACGAGATAATAAGTCGTAATTACGAGATAATATGTCGTAATATAACGACTTACTATCTCGTTATTACGACTTATTTTCTCGCATTACTCTAAAATCTCTCTAAAATCCAGGAGCTTCCAGGGGGTTTGCACCCTGGGCCCCCAACAGGTCGAAGACCCACTGGGGGCCTCAAGGCGGCCCCCAGACCCCCTGCCTACTTTTTGCGCCCCCCCCCCCCTCTCAATTCAATTCCTCGATCAACATCTGTTGATGCATTTTCAACAGTCATATCTTTAATCGTTATTGCAGAATGTGTATCTATTGACAACTTTGATGACTTCAATCGAAAACCACTTCAAGATACATATGGCTGCTATGAGTTTTGTACCGGGCTTCTTTTTGCAATATCGGTAAGTACTTTAAGTACTCTAACGATGATGGAAACTCGCTTTCCTCCAGAACTGATTTAAGTTAGCTGATAAGAGGTATTTAAAAAAAATCTTTTGTGATATATTTTGTTATATTATTATTGAAGCACAGCATATCTGTAAACTCAGTAGTAAATAAATCTAAAAAAATTTATTATACCCGCTGTAATGAAAGTTTGTGTATATTGTTATCCTGATTCGTCTGTCCCTCACACATCTTCCTCTTCAACCATTTTTTTAAATAAAAAATAAATATTTTTGAAATAATGGCCTAACAATTTGTATGAAAAACTTTGTATGTAGGCGGGAGATTTCTCATTGAATTTCTCTACACAGTATGATTGCGGGTGTGACCGGTCGGCAGAGGATGCTCACTGAGCCCATCTCTAAATTTTGAGGTCCGTGTTTGCTCTGCTCCAAATCTGTATCGTTTCATTGGACTTTCGAGATTTGATACTGTTGGTTATTTTCTTATTTCATGAATGTTGATTAGGTGACACCTAAACACAGATATCGTTTTATATATGAACAAAATCAACATCCAATTTAACGATAGATTGTTTATTTGTTTTTGCTAACAAGGTCAATGTATCTACCATACAATTTGCGGAATATCTACTTTAAACAAAATTGTTGATATCCTTGGTTCATCAATTATTTGTCAATAGCATATCTCGTTTTAGAGATTGTTCGTACGTAGAGCATGTCCTTGCATATTAAATGAACTTGGAGACATAAACTCTCTATGCAGGTGATAATGGTATATTGCTACATAAATAAGAGAAGTTGACAATAGAAAAACTGAAGTCATCGCATTTATCATAAAGTTTTGATGTTAAGTTGCCAATAATGTCTTTTTCTAGTACAATATCCAAATATGATCAGATGTGTCTTTTATTTCGAGTTCAAAGGCATATATCGAATCAAAATAAGAATGAAATGAAAATTGTTAAATGATAAGACGTCGCCAATATCTCTAAATGTCGAATTGAGGGCCTCAGTAAGAGACTTCTTTTTTTCATGTAGAAATTTTTAATAAATTCTACTTCATATGAAAATAGATCTGCTAAAAACGGGGCGCAATAAGTACCATACAAAAATAAATCTGCTAATAACAGGGCGAAATAAGTACACTTTGAAATTCCTACAGATTGTTGGAAGATTTGATCTCCAAAAACTACATGAATATTATCAATCAGAAACTCAGGCATCTTTTTAATATCATCTTTGGAGTACTGGTGTGTACAATCAGAATGTTTTTTAACAAAAAAAGTTTTGCAGATGACCAATGACACGGCATGTTATATATACGACTTCCTATTTTATTGAAAAAGCTGTCTGTGATGTCAAAAATCTAGACTTTATTTTATCATGTGGAATGGTTGTTTAAAGTGTTAAAAATCACCTCATTAACTTACGAAAGTCAACGCAAAATCTAGTTGTGTCATCTTCCTTTTTAGCGAGAACGACGGCGAAGAACACGAACTTGTTGATTCTTTTATGAAATTTCTTTTAAGCATGTCATCCACATGCTGATCAACTTCTGTTTGCATATGGACAAGAAGATATCTTGCGTGCTGCTTGATGGGAGATGCAGTTCCAGTACCTATTTTGTGCTCAGTAACAATTGTCTGGCCTAGGTCTGCATCAGTTTCGGCGAACAAATTTGAATACTGCAATAACAATTTGTAAACCATTTTGGCATTCTTGGAGTCCATTCCTTCTGCAGTTCTTTCATACATATATTTAATATGATCGGGCAACCTTTGTTGGACAAAATTCTTATTCTCTTGTACCCCAGCACAGACACTGTCAGCTGGTAACAAGTTAGCCACTTCCACTTATTGATCATATGAGCTTCACCTGACATGTTCATCATTCTAACTGGTGCTACTTTGCCTCAACATACCACGGTTCTAGTCACTAAAGCACGTTCAGACTCGACAAATCGACAAGAAGGCTCTATAAGACCAACTTACGGGACCTTATCAAACAATGGTGGACCCAAATCTATCAAAAACTTAACGACTTTACGCTTTATCTCAGGATAAACATGTATAAACATTTCAGCCTCACCGACCTTATTGGTAACCCCTGATTTACCTGCTTCCTTATTGTCTGTATTTGTTTTATCACGTGAGAGCAGGATAACCCTCTTTGCTTGGAAGATCGTATTCGTTTGCAGCTTTGTCTAAGTTAAGTACTTTAAAAAGTTTGCTTAACATGCCTTTTTTCTTACAAAAGTGACATACAACTTAAGGTTTTTGGCCACTCCTCTGTACAGCCTGATGGCTTCCAATATATCTTTTCTCATTTATAAGGACCTTAATTTCCTTTCCTTCTGGAGATCAATCACTGCTCTGATCAATATGGAGATGGACTCCAATTTTTCTTCTTCATTATATGTGGATCTAGCATAGATTGGGTTTTCATGTATACGCTGGTAAGCTGCCTTGAATGCATCCAACTCAACTGCGTGTCTGACAGCGTCATTCAAGTCGGCTGGTCTCACTTGTTTCACTCTCAGACGGATGTTTATAGTATCTATAAACTGTTCCTTTGCATTGGTTTCCCATACATCTACTAAAGCTGTGGGGTAAGCCAGATTCGTTAACCGCCGAATTTCTTGTCCCAGTTCCGGTGAAGTCTCTGTGGCTTTCTGTCGTGTCTCTCTGAGCTGCGCTCTGTGGAGTTCGGTCTGAAAAAAGTATAAAAAAACCCTCTCCTCCAGTACCTTACACAACAGTCTGTAGTTACACTTTTCTTCCCCAGGTAAATTACCTAGAACAGGCTTGGCTTGTCCTTTCAGTGATACCACCAGATGCATAACCATTTCGGCTACTGATCATTTATTCAGGGTAGCACATACATGTATTTCAAAATGAGATTTAAAATCTTTCGAAGATTTACTGCCATCATCTTTGTTTTTACTCCAGAGCGGACGGTCTCGTGTTCAGTCTTCCTTTGGCGCCGGCGTGTAACATTTTCTCCATATATCTCATCAAGGGCAACCCAATTTCTTTGGCGGGGGAGTGTGTGGCAAAGTAATTTCATATATTCTATTTAGGCGTGTATCGAACACACTTTTGTAAACTTATTTCTTATTCGATTATTTGAATCAAGTCAGTAATTCTAACACATTGTAAAGGATTTTGTCGAACACTCTTTTTGTAATCTTATTATGTATTCTTTAAATCAACCCAGTCCACTTGCGCAGTAAATCTGGGTATAAATAAATATACAGGTTTGATCAGAACCACTGGCCCCGCCAGCCAAATTCAAGGTCACAGCACCTCGTGGTCGTGCTATCCATTTAGGTATTTTTTAAAAAATACTTTAGGTAGAATAATATGTATTATTTTGTTCTTTCTAGACACAAACATGTCATTGTCGTTATTCGTTTGCAGTTTCAAATAAAGAAATCAACGTAAACCTAGATGCAATGGTGTCTCAACTAAATTCTATTTCTCTTAATTATTTTTTTTAAATTTAAGATCAATTTTTTAGGTAATGTGGAAAGAAATCTGGGCTTCTACTACCAGAGTGAATGTAACTTAACGAATTTATGAAGGAAGTTGTTTATGATTACAAAAGTATCCCGAAATACATTTTATGGTTTAAATTGCCCATTTCCAAATTCATGTGATAAAGTCTTTACGGAAATATTGACTATGTGTTCATTTAATTTTTTTACAATTTTCTTCTCATTCTGATTTGAATTTTATCTTAATCACATATGCAGTTGAAGTTGTTCTAAATGTAATAGACTAATGCAATTTAGCGTTAAAGGAATACAAAATCTGTTTGAACACTTGGAAAATAAATAAACCTGCAATGCAGTGACGATAATTACGAAAATGAAATATTATTTGTAAATTACCGCTAAGAATCACCAATGTCTAAAATATTTTGAAAATCTTTTTATAGTAAAGCCAATGCAAGAATTTCATGACAATCTGTCAAGGGAATGTGTTCGTGGTTGGCCTATGCAGACATTGCACGAATACAATGCAGGCATTGAGACTCTCTTTCACTCAATGAGCAATGCAGGCATTGCCTGACCCTCTAAAGGGTCCACGCGGGCATTGTTCGACTATCTCAAAATCCAATGTAGGCTTTGGGCGACTCTTATGAGAGCCAATGCAGGCATTGAGAGACTCTCTCAAAGTCCAATGCAGGCATTGGGCGACTCTCTCATAAGAGCCAATGCAGGCATTAGGTGACTTCTCAAGGTCAAATGCAGGCATTGGAAGAGTCCCTCAAGGTCCAATCCAGGCACTGGAAGAGTCTCTCAAGGTCCAACGCAGGCATTGGGAGACTCTCTCATAAGAGCCAATGCAGGCATTAGGCAGGTTCAATGCAGGCATTTGGCGACTCTCATAAGAGCCAATGCTGGCATTGTACGACTCTCTCAAAGTCCAATGCAGGCATTTTTCGACTCTCAGGAGAGCCAATGCAGGCATTGTACGACTCTCTCAAAGTCCAATGCAGGCACTGGGCGACTCACAGAAGAGCCAATGCAGGCATTGTACGACTCCCTCAAAGTCCAATGTAGGCATAGGGAGACTCTTCCAAGTAATCCGTTCCTTTCAAAAGTATATATCTTCCTTGTCAGACCTTGTTTTTAATGCAGACATCCTGAAATCATTTAATGATGAAGGTTCTTATAATATCCTTTTCCCTTGTTTTTACTTACATTGACAAAATAATTGCAAGATCATATATAACAACAATTTTAACTTTTATTTTTTTATATTAAAAAAGAATAAGCAGAAATCTGAGCTGAAATGAAACGATGTAATTTTAAAGTAAGATTTTTAAAAAATAGTTTTGGACAATCTTATTTCATTGCCAGAACACTGTCTTCCTGATTCCTTCTCCATTTACTGTATGTTCATGTTTCTGTGCAGTTTTTAGTACTTCACCTGGAAATTCGGAGTTCTTTACACAAAATCGTTTCAAGTAAATCTCACTTTCGGCAT